AATGCTTGAAAATCATATCATATTTGATCTCGATAGTGACTTATTCTCCCTCTGGACTTTGAACTTTCCTTTTGAACTTCAATGACTTCCTTGAGTCAATGTCAATCAACAAGCGTCCTTCCGAGAGATCCACCGTGTCAACATGACCGAGGCGGCCTCCTATGTTTTGTAGGTTTCTGTCTGTCCACAAGTGTAGAGGCATCCCAACAAAAGTAACCCAAAAAGGAATAATCCAAGGGTAATCATCATGAACTATTGGCTCCCATCGGACCAATACGAACATGCGGTAATTAAAGTGAAACAGACCCTGCCTGAGCACAAAGTTTAAATCTTTCTCGGACTGAAAGTTCAGTAAGAACTTTCCATTCCCTAAGTCATTTGCCGTGATTCTCTCCTCAATAACCCACTGAGTTGGCATTTTCTGAATGAGCTTTTTCACGTTTTGTTTTTTAGGATTGAGTATCTTCCCAATCAGTGACATTCGGTATTCCTTTATCACAAAAGCGTCATCTTGTTCCGTAAGTTTAATGGGCTCATCATCATCCTCGTAAAGGATCCCTTTTCTTTTTATATCCGCCATATGAGCAGATCTCGATCTATCATACGATCCCATACCGGTCACCTAAGAAGGATCCGATTAATGTTCTTCTGTAATCAAGAGAAAAGCCTATGATTGATCTTTCACAGAACAGAGAGACTCGTCTTAACACCAGATAACAACGACAGAGATCGTCCGTTGAATGTGGAACGAGAATTCCCACCAGATAACAACGAGTTATTCTGGTTTATCTTATAGATACAACACCAAAGGGAGGTTGAGATCGCGGCTGGGAAGCTGTACTTCAAACGTTGCTCGTGTTAACCCGCCTCTCATCGCCGCCTTTCATAATTGTCCCGTCGAATGATGATGCTTGTGGAATACGAAAACACAAGGCAGAGGATTGTGCGACGTGAAAAGACAAGAGGAAAAAATAGACAACAAAGATCGATTGGATGAAGAAAGGTGATGTAGCCGTCACAGAACGAGAACAAAGGTTGTGGTGAAACGAAGGAGAAGGTGATGCAGCGGTGGTTGTGGCGTAAGGCGTAAGGACGACTCCGTGGGGTACGAAAAAACAAAGCAGCAGCAAGCACAAGTCGAACGACAAGGGTCGATCCGATATGTAAAGTTATGTGAAAGGGTGACACAAAACCAAGGCGTCTTTGTCGTCGTTCTTCAGATCACACTCCTGATCGGCAGAGCGGCTAGAGCTTCCTTCTTGTTGTGTAACCGTATCTTTAACAATCATATTAGTTATAGTCTATGAAATATCTGGATTTTATCATTTTGAAACATAAATATAAAATATGTATGTAATTTAGTTGTACATATAGACTGATTTTGGTGATGGACGACTAGTAAACCAATGGCTCCTCCACTTCGTATGACCCCAAATTCAATGACGTGAAACAAGAAGTGGGCTTAGTTTAGGGAAAAATAATAATTATTTTAAAATTTAGAATTCTATTACTTAAAGCCCGTTAAAAGAAAAGATGATATGGTCCAAATAGATAAACTCGTTCGGGTATCCAATCGATTTCAGTTCGAGACAATTCGAGTTCGATTGTTTTGGAGACACAAATTTAGTTCTATTTGAATATTATAAATGTTTGATTCGGTGTTCAAGTTCAGTTCATATATAAGAGCATACTGGAAACCCGTTTGAATCCATTATAAATTCGATTCGGTTCTAACTCAGATTTCAGTTATCCAAATATTTGTTTACAACTCGAAAATAGTTATTTAAGTTTATAAACTTGAAAAAATAAATCATTTACATTAAAATAGTTATCTATGGGCTCTTTTCTGGGCAGTGGAGTGCTTGCACAACCTACATATCGCGAATATTATTTTGGAGACTTCCTCGGAGTGCTTACATGACGCTATTACGAATCCTAATGAACACCTCAGCCTCAGCCACATTCGTCATAACATCTTTTGGCTTCTGACAAGAATAGACTCATGGAGTTTGGATCATATTCTTCCTGATCGAAATGAAGCTGCAGCAGCCATTGCTCTTAGTGTCACTCGAGACAGGTGCCACCAGTCGTATATCGCCCAGAATGCTCCATCGTGGTTACATCACCTACTCGTTTTGGAGACTCAGTAAGAAATATATTTGGTAAGCCCTGTTCCTTTTCCTTTGATGGTGTCTACTGACATCTCATTTTCTTGTTATTAGTTTATCACTTTTGTTCTCTCTCGAACTTTGTATATCTTTCAGTGTTATAATAAAAAAAGGGCTTGGTGGCATATGATTAAAAAGTGGTTGGTAAACAGAGAGAAACATAAAAAAGTTAAGATTAACAACTATATAAACGTAAGAAACATCATTTATACTTTAAAACTAAAACAATTTTGAACTTTTTTGAAGAAAACTGAATTACAATCAAAATTTAAATGCAATTATCAAAACATAAAATTCAAAATATTTGAGTACTTATCAAAATCTACATTAAACTAAATACTGGAATTAATTTTCATGTTATAAATACTTTCTTAGAGTACTTATTCAAGATTTAATTTGTCTTTGGGTTTTTAAAAACTTTCGGATTTTTAGTGGATATCTGTTTGGATTCAGGTTTGGTTCGGATTAAAACCAGAAAACCCAAAACCAAAAATACCTTAGAATAAAATCAATTCAGATATTATGCCAGATTCACTTCGGACTAGATCTGTTTGGATATCCGGGTTTGTTTTTTTTTGTCAACCTCGATAATTAGACCATCTCGAAGCCACACTATTTTCTCTTTATATTTAAAAAAAAAAAAAAAAAAATCTGTTATATAGATCAATTTACTTCAATGTGTGCATAAATGATGTTTCTCTCTATATAAGGAAGTAAAAATAATATGGCTCGATATTTCTATATAAAATACATAAACTCTACTATAGAAAAATATCATAAACTCTACTATAGAAAAATATATTAGAGTAAATGTATTCTTTAGATAAAGTTTTGAAAAATATAAAGATGAAAATAGAAGTAGAATGGAGATGATTTTAGAAAATTAATACAAATGAAGAATTCGTGCATTGTATAGTAAATTGTAAGAGAAATTTAAGTATATATTTAACGGTCGGCTTTTTTGAAAAAGAAATTAAACCGTGAAGTAAACTACAAAACTGCATTTTTTGTATAATGTTAAATTCATGTTGAAAATGGAAGTATTAGGTCTACATTAAAAAAAACCTACGCTCCCTGACGGCGACTCCATGGCGATCTCCAGGATTACTCGATCTGTTCTCCTCTGAGAAGGATCTCCGACTCTACACAACTTCGACGGCCCTCATCACCGCAAAGGAGACTACACGACACTCTTTGGGATGATCCGTACCGACCAGCAAGCCGCCATCAATAACCGTTGCGTATCCATCAAGCAATGAATCATCCATGTCTTGCTCTCTGTTTCATACGCCCATCGGCGTATTCTGTTTAATTCAAGGGGCCTTTGCTCCTTGGGTCGCTTTAAGGATCACGACTTTTCCGCTTGTTAAACAACACAGGATCCCTTTGATCTGTGGTTATCTCGGTGTATCTGGCTAAACTACACGTCTTTCTCCGACGAGTCTGTTCCCGACGTGTCTTACACAATTCTCCAGTGATATCCGATCAAATTTTCATTGCTGTACCCGTATTTTCCCTGCAATATAGCAATCTCTGTTGATCCATTACCACAGTATGGGATCCAGGAATAGTTATAAATCTGCTCATATGGTAGATTTAAAAGGCAAAGCTATTCAGTTTGAAGATGATGATGAACCAATCCAGTTAACGGCGCAGGGCGATGCTTTTGTGATTAAAGAGTTTCACTTGTCTCTTATTGGCAAGATTTTGAATCCCAGGAAACAGAATGTCGAGAAGCTCCTCCAGAAAATGCCTGCTCAATGGGGTGTTGAAGACAGGATCACAGCTAATGACTTAGGAAACGGCAAGTTCCTGATTAATTTTCATACTGAGGAGGATCTTAATGCAGTGTTAAGGAAGGGGCCATTTCATTTCAACTATTGTATGTTTGTGTTGGTGAGATGGGAGCCCATTGTTCATGACGATTACCCTTGGATCGTTCCTTTCTGGGTCACTCTCATTGGGATGCCGTTGCATCTATGGACAGATGAAAACTTGAGAAACATAGGCGGTAGACTAGGTCATGTGGATGCCATCGATCTCTCGGAGGGTCGTATTCTCATGGACATCGATTCTAGGAAACCTTTGAAGTTCAAACGTAAGGTGCAGAGCCCGAAAGGAGACGAGGTTACACTTGATATTCAGTATGACCTCCTATTCAAACACTGCACCAGCTGTGGAATGAGCGAAAATAGCTACTGTCCAACCTCACCCGTGCGAGGCAATGTTTTTGAGCGTGTACAAGCTCCTGCTCATCATGAGCTTCAGATATCTCAGGTGAAGGCTGCGAAGGATCACGTCTGGTCCCGTGATCAAAGAGTAAAGGAACAGGATGGGAAGCATCAGACTGAAAATCGCAAAGACTTCTCTTCTCGCCTTGGAGATCAACGTCTCAGATTTGCTGGAAAAAACAGAGAGACACCGGTTTACCCCTCAAGATACAGAGGTGATGATAAACGACTTCCCACTCACTCTGATCGGATTAAGAGAGGAAGAGAGCATATGCGAGGCATTTCCCCTGATCAAAGACGCAAGCCGTATTCCTGTTATGAATATAAAACTCGTGATCATGGGGGAAATATGACTTGGCGGGAGAAGGCTGGAAACAAGACAAGAAGAGGTAATGGAACGGAGAAAGATGAGAGTACATAGGAGGAGCTGGACTGTGGTGAGTCCTCTAAAGGGATTGTTCCATATGAACAACCAGCAAACGATACATATCCGGCTGGTGACCTTCGTTTCCAAGGCAGTGATGGTATAAAGGGTGACCAAAACAGCAACAACAAGCGTGTGGCGAGCATGATTGTGTCTCCCGAGTTTAGACATCTAACAATGGAGGAAAATGTCACTATCAGAAGCAGGAGTGTGGCGAGATCATTGGCTTATTCCCCAAACAATCAGGAAAATCCACTTCACGGTGAGCAAAGGATTGACGATTTGAATGACATGGATGCTCAGGAAGAAAATGAGGGCCTCATGATGGATGTGGATGAGTTTTTCGATGGTGAGGATGATCTATTTGATGATGAAATCAAGGACATGGAAAACATGGGGCAATCCTCCAAAGTTTTGGGAGATACTATTCCTAGCTCATCACGATCCGCGCGATCTGGAAAGAGTAACAGACACACGCAGATGGGTATGAAGCCAAAGAAAACAGAGTTCCTCCGTCGAGGTTCTCCACGATTAATATCATCAGCTACAACCAATCAGAAAGAGAAGTCCAAGTATTCTTGCAGCAATCCAAAGAAGGTCAGAGAAAATGCATCCAAGAGTGGTTTGATGGGATCCAATAACCCATCCCCCCTCCATCCATGAAGACAATCAGTTGGAACTGTCGAGGGATTGGAAACCACCTCACAGTTCGACGCCTTACGGAGATGTGTCAGAAGCATCGCCCAGGATTTGTGTTTCTCTCTGAGACGAATAATAGGAGGCTGCTGTTGCAAGACATTCAGGCCGGCCTAGGTTTTGATCGTTTGTTTACCGTTGAGCCACGTGGACTCAGCGGAGGTTTAACTTTGTATTTTATGGATGATTTTCAAGTTAAGATTTTATTTTCAAATAACTGAATGATTGACATTGAAGCAATCATTGATGGAATAAAAGTTTACATGAAGTTTGTTTACGGAGATCCTGTATTAGAACGTGGGGAGTTAGTTTGGGAACGTCTTACGCGTTTCTCAACAACAAGAAATGGATTTTGGTTCATGATTGGTGACTTTAATGAGATTACATGTCACGAAGAGAAAGAAGGGGGTCGGGAACGTGCAGGCAGTTCTTTTTTGCCTTTCAGACAAATGTTGAGTGATTGTGGAATGCTGGAATTTCCATTCACAGGGAACATGTTATCATGGGCTGGAAAAAGAGCATGGAGAGTTACAGTTAGATGTCGTCTGGACAGAGCTGTTGGTAATGAGGATTGGCATGATAAATTACCTCATACGAAGACCCAGTATATGAGGATGTGGGGATCGGATCATCGTCTGATCCTAGCTGACATTCTTAGAAAGCGACCACGGAGATCGAAAATTTTTAAATTTGATAAGCGTTGGTTAGATAATGAGGAGCTCCGACATGTGATTTTGGAGAGGTGGAAATCACCGGATCTACCACTAGGAGCTACCATTATGGAGCACATTGTGAGCTGCATACGAGCATTGTGTGATTGGAAGAGAACACAATCTAAATTCTGAAAGGAGTGTGGAGGAATTAAAGGAGAAAGTTGACCAGTTATCTTCAAATGACGATGCCACTACTGAGGAGATTGTAGCAGCTCTAAAAGAATTATCTGATGCCCTTAAGGCAGAGGAGATGTTTTGGAAGCAGAAGTGTAGAGTTTTTTGGTTACGAGAAGGAGACAGAAATACAAAATTTTTCCACGCTCATACGAAGCAGAGGAGGGCAAGGAACAGGATCACGCAACTTCTAGATGAAAATGGAAATGTGGTACAGGATGAGGAAGGATTAGTAGCCATTGCTACAAATTACTTTAGACATATTCCAATCATCGAAGCCTGAGAACATAGAGGAAGCACTATCTGAAGTCTCTACTACTATTACACCAATGGACAATGAAAATCTCACAGTGCCGGTCAGTGAATGGGAGATCAAGTTAGCGCTTTTTGCCATGCACCTAGAGAAAGCCCCAGGACCAGATGGAATGACAGCTCTCTTCTACCAAAAATTTTGGGATATTGTCAAAGAGGACTTAACTCTTATGGTTAATAAATTCATGTTTGAAGGCACGATACCTAATGGTTTAAATGAAACAAATATATGTCTTATCCCGAAAGTTGATAAGCCAGATCAGATGAGCCAGCTACACCTTATAAGCTTATGCAATGTTAGCTATAAGATAATCTTTAAGGTCTTATGCCAGAGATTAAAAAAAGTTCTTCCAGATAGAATATCAGAAACCCAGTCTGCTTTTGTTGCGGGAAGGCAGATATCTGATAACATTATGATTTCCCAAGAGATGTTTCATGCCCTAAGGACCAAACCCAGTGGACGTAATAAGAGGATGTCCATTAAAACGGACATGAGCAAGGCGTATGATAGGATGGAGTGGTCCTTCATTGAGGCTACCATGAGGAAGATGGGCTTTTCGGAAATATGGATAACATGGATCATGCGCTGTATAACATCTGTCAGGTACAAGGTACTGATGAATGGTCAGCCTAGAGGGAACATTGTTCCAGCAAGAGGTCTACGACAGGGGGATCCTCTATACCCTTTCATTTTTATTCTGTGCACGAAAGCGCTCGTTAGCCTTCTAAATCACGCAGAGAACCAAGGGAAGATAACGGGAATGCGCATCACGCGTGCGTGTCCTTCGGTATCTCACCTTCTCTTTACTGATGATAGTATGTTCTTTTGTAAGGCGGAGCCCCATGAATGTGAAGAAGTAATGAAAGTGGTCAAGAAATATGGACAAGCCTCTGGTCAATGTATTAACTTTGACAAATCTTCTCTACTCTTCGGTAAGAGGATTGGAGATGAGGCTAGACAAGAAATTAAAGATACACTTGGGATTCAGAGTGAAGGAGGGATGAGAACATATCTAGGAATTCCGGAGGATATCAGTGGGTCTAAATGTAAGCTCTTTGTATTTCTCAAGGTTAAGCAAAGGAACATGGTTAATGGGTGGACAGGAAGGTGGCTATCGAAATGTGGAAAAGAGGTTATGATCAAGTCGATCCTATTAGCACTGCTAACTTATGTCATGTCCTGTTTTCTCTTGCCCTTGGAAATATGTGATGCCTTAGCTAGTGCCATTACACAGTTCTAGTGGAGTTCTAATCCCCCAAAAAGGGGTATCCATTGGTCCACTTGGGACAAAGTATGTTTACCAAAGGAGGAATGTGGGATCGGCTTCAGGTTGATTCATGAATTTAACTTGGCATTGTTGGCAAAACAATTATGGAGACTGAGTCAATATCCGGATTCGTTGGTTGCTCATGTAATGAGGGGTCACTACTATCGATCAAGCTCGCCATTGCGTAAGCTTTCTACTAGTAACCCATCATATGTGTGGACAAGTATTTCGACGTCACGAGATTTATTGTTATTGGGTATAAGACAGAAGATCCATTCGGGGTATGAGGTGAAAGTATGGGAGGACCCTTGGATTCTTACTATACCTGTGAGACCGGCGATCTCATCTGTACCGGTTTTGCACCCAAACATGAGAGTAAGTGATCTTATTAATCAAGAGACGAAGACCTGGGACACGACAAGACTAGAACAATACATCAATGCTGTTGATATACCTCTCATAAAGAGTATGTCCATTAGTTCGACACATCGGAGAGATACATTCTGCTGGAATTATACAAGGAATGGACAATATACAACCAAGTCTGGATATTGGGTGGCACGAAATATTTTAGAACGAGAAGAAATGTCTGTAGTTTAGTGAACCTAGTATTACTAAATTACAAGCGCAAGTTTGGAAGGTGCGGGCTCCACAAAAGATGTGCCATCTTATGTGGCAGATAGTAACAAGTCAAGTGGCTGTTACGAGCATCTTAAATTGTAGACATATGCGGTGTGATAATTACTGTTCACGTTGTGGAGAACCGGATGAATCGATCACACACGCCATTTTGCTTTGCCCTCCTGCAAAGCAAGTCTGGGCATTATCGTCACTACCTACCAGCCCTTATTTATTCCCATTACATAGCACATATGCGAACATGGACTATCTTTTTTGGAGGAAGAATGCCATAGGTGGACCGGCAGTAGACATGGATCCTTATCCATGGCTAATTTGGTATATCTGGAAGGCTCGGAATGACAAATTGTTTAAAGGGATTGATAGAGACCCATTGGAGACAGCACGATATGCAGAGAGTGAATGCCTTGCCTGGTATCAAGCTAATGAGCAGCCGTCCTTGCCCTCTCAAATCGACACGAATGGCGACAACCAGATCATAAGTCTGGGGAGCATCTGTCTGGTGAATGGTTCCTGGACCTCTACAGCTCAGTACAACGGATGTGGATGGGTATGGCAGGATAGTATGGGGAATGGTCAGCTGATGGGATTGCGTAACTTTGATAGAGTGGAGTCTGCTTTGCATTCTGAGCTGGATGCACTGCGGTGGGCAATGGAGAACATGCTTCAACATTCGCCATGTCAGAGCTTTGGGGCGGATTGTAAGGAAATGATATCAATACTAAGGAACCCACAGGATTGGCCAAGCTTCTCAACGGAACTGAAAAAGCTCACTACCTTGCAGATTTGCTTTCCCGAGTTTAAAATTGTCTATGTGCCTAGGACACATAATGGTTTTTCCGATTCACTAGCTAAGACTGCTCGATCTTTTTATTGAGATTTGGTGTATGTAGGTTGTTCTATTCCGGTCTGGATTCCCAGACTACCTCAAACTTGAGTAATAGATCCGCCATTCGTTGTAAAAAAAAAAATGGAAGTATTATTTTAAACCTAATATATTCGAACAATCCCACTAAAATTACTACATGTACACTTTTAATTGGCAGTATTCATCATTATGATAATCAATATGAATTTTAGAATAATAAATATTTTCCTGAGAGCACATATGCTCTCTCTGTTGGTGGTCGCAGATAGATATTTTACAACATAGTACTTCATTTGCATAGTGCACGAAAAATCTCGTCAAACATAGTCTGATGTTTCCAAGTCATGTCTATGACATGTATGGACACAATCATCTATACCGTTTACTGTCGAAGAGCACCACTTCACTTTCCAACACAATTTAGTTGACAAGCCAACTATATAATTCAGAGCCAAGAAAAATCACAAACTAAAAAAGGTAAAACTAAAGAAAAAAGTAGAAACATGATTTCAAAGTAGTAAGTGCTTCTTATGTTCATAATGTGGGACTCGGAATTGTAAGGATATATCAAATCTGTTTGCCTACTTGGGGTCAGCCACTACTAATTACTTCACACACAAAAATTAATTAAAACAAAAAGTGATGTTTAATAGTAATGATTTGATGTTGACAAAAATAAAATAGAAAGATTTGATTTGGGATCTGAATCTGATATTGTTTCCTAAAATTTCCCCAACAGCTTGGCAAAAGTGTAGGCCTCCAGCTTGTTACTTATGTGCCTTTTTAAAAAGTAAAAT